CTTTGTTCTTTGGCTGCAGCCACAGCGAGCGGCCAGTTCAATACAATTCACTCACACCCCTGAAATAGTTTTAGTGAAATCTATTTATTACTCATTGTCATTTACAGATCAAGGTGTTTGAAGGTGTTACTGTTAGAGGATCTCTCTGCCATTCTCTCCAGTCTTTGTGAGGGGGCAGGAGGAAAAGCAAGGAAACACAGAGGAATCCTTTGGGGCTTTGGCCAGCTGAAGTCTGGCATGTTCCAGTGTCTGTTGGTTTAAACTGCCAGCTCAGTAACACACAGCATTCACAGCCTTGCTTACCTGTGCAAACACTGTGTTCACAGCAGGTGCTGGGTCTTCACATCACACTGAATGTCCAACAAAACCATTCAGATGCAGGTAATTTCCAAAGGAACGTTTTTAACTATGGCCAAAGATATGTAGCAATGTTGGCTGGGCAGTTTCTTTTCCATTCCCAAATTCTGTGCTCATGTCCTTCTCTCTCACAACAGTTTAGGCCTTTGCTCTGCCTCTTTCTTTACATATAAATCTTACCTCACTGTATGCCAGTCTCCAGCTCCTCCAAATAAAGCTTTTTGCTGCCTCCTGGTAAGACACATCACAGTCACACAGAAGATTTTGTGGGCTCTTCATGCCCTTCCTGTCCATTGCAGTGAAAACACTTCATCTCTGCTTCACTGGATTGACAACTTCCAATCTGGAAGAACTTTATTTAAATCTCCTCTGGACCCTCCACTGGATATTGGCTGACTCCAGAGCACCATTCAGATCACAATCAAAACTCCACTTTGCAGATAAACCTATACAAGATCCTTTAGGTCTTAGGTTGCTCAATTCTTTCCTGTCTTCCCTTCAAACAGCACATTCCTGTGCCTTTTGGGGCTTGTAGACATCCTGGCTCTTGGCTTCCCAGTCTAGGGGCTCTGCTCACCCCTCTCCAGATGAAGAGGGAACACTGAGGATCCGAAAGCCCTGCAGGCACTGACATTCCTGGGAGTGAGAAGCCAGGGTGGCCTCACCAACTGGTGTGTCCAGGCTCTCAGAACTACAAAGAATGAGTCAGAAGAGCTGAGTCCCAATTCTGCCTCTGCCCATGATTCTCTGCATCATCATATTCCCTCTCAGCTTCCTCAGCTGAAAAACAGGAGTCATAATATTTCCTTACTTACAAAAGCTGTTAGGAGGATTATTGCATTGTTGTGAATTCCACAGATGAAAGGTACTACAGAAGAACAAACTGCAATTATTGTTTCAAACCTCTGCCCTAATCCTGTCATCCTTAACTTACTGAATAACACTTACTCAATCGAGGAAATCCTGCCACTACACTGAAGATGATCATTGGAAAAGATGACTCTCTGTTGTAATAAGAGCATTTATCCCCTTGTGTTCAACATCCTTCTGCCTGACACTGGAGTGATCTGAGTCATGTAATCTCCCCTTGCAGTGGGAATCTGTGGTTTTGATAGTGGAAAAGGTACAGGTAAAAATCAGAAGCTTGCAGGAAGTACCTATGGCAAAGATCAGAAAAATTGGTGTTCCCAGCAGTCCCTGATTCCTGCTAAATACTGCTGAGTGCAGCCACACAAGGCTGAGTGTGGCCCATCCTCCCAAAACTCATCTGTCCCACAAAGTATCTCCTCTTCTGCTTCCATCCCCTCTTGGTTTCAAAACACCCAACACTCCATGAGCAGAGAGGCAGAAAGTGCCAGTGTTTAACAGCCCTGAAAACCACTCTGGTTTTGCACAAATAACATTTTTCTTGTTGAAGCCTGTGCACAAAGCTTCTGAGATGGATGTAGGTACCACTGGGCATTACAGGTTAAAAGTACTGTAACAGCCAGGAATAAATACATGGCAGGTGTTCATTAATAAGACACTAATTGGGTAACTGGAGGTACAGCATAAAAGACCACAGAGGCCAATTGAGAAGCTTTGGGTGAATCTAGGATGCTCCTCTGAGCTTGGGGAGCAGGAGAAAATAAAGAGCTGCTGCTGTAGGTTTCTATTTTATGGAGAAGTTGGTGTTAAGGTGTCTCAGAAGAGGCAGCCTGTTACATCTTGTGCATGAAACTGTGTGACAAAATCAGTTCAGAATTTAATTTAAAGATTACAACTCTTCCTCGGTTGAAGTGCTTTTACTTTGGCTTTGGTAACTTGAGCTTAAATTGTTCTGATTTGATTTCACTGTACCTCCTAAGGGGCTTATTCAAACTGAGTCAGCCTGTGCCTGTTTGGCTAAACCATTATCTAAACTCACTGCCTTGCATAAAGAAGGCTTTAGGGATCCCAAAATATGTTTGCTTTCCTAATCCCTTGGAGGATGCAGCAGGGTTCTTCAAGCACAAGTCTGCAGGCCTACAGGTAGGTGTGTGAGTGACTGCTGTGTTCCAGGTTGAAAGCTGATAGTGGTGAAATCTCTGGGGACAGTTTCCCACGTGAATTGTTTTGCCTGCTCAGCCTGCTGCATAATGAACACGACAATTTGGGATGAAACTCTCTTACACCCACCCTGGGTGAGATAAGGCAGATAAGGTGTAATTGGAGACTCCTTTTGGGTTGCAGTTTTCATGCAACCCAAAAGGATGCATGATTTAATTTTTTATTGCACTCTTCATCATCGTGCTCCTGACAGTGGATTTGCAGTGAGGATCAAACTCCAATATTGAACTTGTGCCCGTTCACTGTGAGGTGAGTGCCCTGCTAGCTTGGAGAGTTTCATGCTCTCACAGAGTTTCTGCTCTCTGGCTTCTCTTGTCTCTGCCTTTCTGCCTGCACTCCCCACTTTTTCTCTGCTCTGCTGTTGTGCTCTGTGTCTGTTGCTGGGGTTGCTGAACACTTTACATGAGGAGACCCCTGTTCAGTTCCTTGTGGCTCTGCCAAGTCTCACATTGCAGCCAACACTTCTTTTGTTGCAGGAGTTTGTCTCAAACTAAAATATAAATACTTTTAAAATCCAAGCTTTCAGATTATGGTTTAGCTGAAAAGGAGTCTTTAGAATACATGGAGTCCATTTTTCCAAGTGTTCATAATGAATACTCAGCCCATTTCTCCCTGCCCCCTCCCTTGGAAAGCTTCAGCTGCCAACTTTTCCCAGCCCCCATGCCTAGAGCTGCAGCAGTTTTTATTTAGGGGCTCTTTGGTCATGCTCTTGATTTGGTGTCTGTGTATGTTATGGCATTCAGGAATTCCTACTCTGGTTATCCATGTGGGATCAGGGACATCCTGGAGCGGGACAGTGCAGTCAAAAGAACTGCCCTGGCTCCCTTCAGCTCTCGAATGCTTTCATACACTTGTGGTGTTTTAGATTGCCTTGAAAATGGGCTTAGAGCAGAACAATGGTAAAAAGTGCTCCAAGTCCTTCCCCCTACTCCCAGGTATCTGGACTTCAGGACACTTGTGGGCAGGGCAGAGTTCAGGTGGTGTTTCAAAGGGATTTCCTCTCTTTTTGGCAATCAGGCTTGTGAACCCTAGCTCATAAAGGTGGTTCTCCTTAAGTAGACCCAGAATGTAATTTTTTTCTTACTGCTTTCATGCTTTGTGTTCCTGCAAAGGCCATGTGCTCTGGGTGGAGTCTTTGGGGTACCTGCTGGTCAAGTCAAAAGGGTCAGCTGGCAGGAAGGAAGCCCAGGTCTCACACACTGATCTGGAGTGGGGTTTGGGTGTTGATGCAGATACAGCAAATGCTGCCTTAGTAAATACATCCAACAGTGGTAGAGTTGTGACCAAGTCTCTGGTTCCTGAATTTGCACAAGCCTTGAAGCTGAGTGCCAAAAAGCCCTTTTTTGGGGAAGTTTGGCTAAGGCACGTGCACAATATTCGTTCCATCCTGAGGCAGCTGCAAGCCTGGCTAACTGGAATTCTCTTAAGCCTGTACAATCTTTCTGATTATATCATACCTCTGGAGAAATTTCAGTCCCATTGGTCGTGTTTTTCTAAAGCTAATCTTCTGGAAATAAGGTCTTTTAGTAAAACTGCCTTCACCTTATGGTTACAATAAACTGACTTATTAATTGGCATCAGCATGTGGCTGTCTGAACCAGCAGCATGGCAGCCTCTGCTGGCACACGTGTCCACAGAGAAATCCCCTCACTCTGCCTTATTCCATACTGGCACTCAAATGTTCCCCTCATTTATTTTCCAATAGCTCTGTTATATTTTTTTTTTTCCTGCAGCAATTCAATCATATTTTGGCTTATAACAATTTTTTTTAAACTTCTGTTTGCAGTTGTGGATTTGCTTTAGGACATGGGCTCTGTGTGTCTGTTACTTGGAAGTGTTTTTAACAGCGCTGATGTTTGTTGATGCTTTTATGGTGGTGTGCTGGTGAAATTCACATTGTTTTTATTGTATACGTTAGATTAATTTCTGTTGTTTTCAGCAGTTGACAATGTTATGAAACGCACCAACCAGTGCAAACTACATCGGGCTGTGGTTTTCTTGATGGATTTTTTTTGGCCGCTCGCTACTCCAGCGTGCATCGGCGGCGGGCTATTTTTATTGCAGCTCGTATTAGTTGTTGCGTAATACCTGCGAGAGCGCATTACCCAATGCAAACCGCGATTAAAAAAAAAAAAAATACAAACAAGGGGGCGAGAGCAGTTGTGATTTCCAGCTCGGCCTCCCGCAGCACGCGTGGGTCCCACGCGCGTTTCCAGGCGCACTTTTCAGCCTCTGCTCGTACCTCGGGAGGCGCGACGCGGGCGGCCGGGGGAAGCCGGGATTTTCCCCGGCCATGTCTGCCCGGGGGACACCCGCCCGCCGCCACCTCGGCGCGGCTCCGTGCCGCGGGTCCCCCGCGCCGAGCCCCGCCAGCCGCTTCCCCCGCCGGGGACGTCGCGTTGGGCGGCCCCGCCGCCCGCTGACCGGGGCATCACCCCTGCCGTTCCCGTCCCCTGCCCGCCGCTCCGGGGAGGGCGCGGGGGGCCGGGGGGGACCCGCTGGCTTCTGGGACTTGTAGTGCGGGCTGCGGCCGCCGCTTCTCCCCCGGCCCGGCCCGGGACTACGGTGCCCACATGGCCTTGCGCCCCGGCGCATGAGCGCTCGGGCGCTGTAGCGCATCTATTATACTGCCTTGCCGAGGATAAAAAGAAGAGCAACTGGAGGGACTGTAAGGCAAACGTTGCTGGAGCTGCCGGGGCAAAGTAATCTATTTAATCTTTCCCTTTATTTGTTAGATGCTTGGGTGTGCATTGCTAGCACTGGGCCATGGTTTCTGGAGGGAGGGGGGCCGGGGAAGAAGGGGGAGGAAAGCAAAACCCACTTGGGAAAGGCCAATGCTGATTTTTTTTTTTTTTTAAATTTTTTTTCCCCCTCCTCTCTTCTGCTCCTTCTTGTTGCGAGAGCCCCACGTCGCTCCCCGCGGCCCCGCAGCCTTTGTGCGCCGCCACAATTGTAACAAAGCGCGGCGGGGCTGGCTGCAGCCTGGCCATTGATTTCCTCCCGGCCCCGCCGCTCCTGCCCACCCTTTTCTTCTTCTTCTTCTGCCGCTTCTTCTCCATCTTCTGCTCCCCCTCCCCTTCTCGCCGAGCGCCCGAAGACGCCCCGGCCGCAGCCGCGGCCCCGCCGAGCCCCGCGCCCCAACGCAGGACGGGCTTGCTTTCTTTTCTTTCTCTTCTCTTTTTTTTTTTTTTTTTTTTTTTTTTTTTGTTTTTTTCTTCTTCTTCCCCCTCTCTCTCGCTCTCTTTCCCTCGCTCGCTCTCTCTGCCCGCCATCTTTTGAAGGGGAAAATTAGGGGCGAAGAAAAGGAGGGCTGCAGGCGCTCTTGAAAACAAGGAAAAAAGAAAGGGGGGGGGGGGGGGAAAGAGGGGAGGGAAGAGGAGGAAAAAAAAAATTTAAAAAATAGCGCGGAGGAAGGGGTGGGAGACTAGGCAGCCTCCAGCCCCCGGTGCCGGCGGTGCGCGGTCCCGGGCTCCGCGTTTGTGTCGGGCGCGGAGCGGAGCCCGGGGCGGCCGCAGCCCTGGGCCAGCGCCCGCCTGCTCCGGCCATTTCCCCGGCCCCGCCGCTGGCTTGGGAGCTGGAAAAAGGTCTGAGCAGGCAGCGGATGATGGGCTGGAAAGTGCGCGTTTCGCGTGTTGTCGTGTCCGCATGCATTTATTTGTGTGTGTGTGTGTGTGTGTACCCAGCTGTTCCGCTCGTGTAAATATCCGGTGTTTACCAAACTTTTGCAAATAAATGGAAACCCAAGGGTTCGCTGCTTAAACTTGATATGTTTTCTAGATGTAAAAAGAAACGCAGATCGCAGATTTATATATAGAAGTGTCACGCTATAAATAATGCTACCGATAATAAAATGTAAAACTTCAAAACTCAGCCGTCCTTCTCCTCCGTTCATACTTCTTGTTTGGGTTTGGCACCTCCCTGGGCGCTGGGGATAGAGCATTATTTGTAGCCTGCTTGGTTTCACTTTCAAACAAAGCTGTAGTGTTCAGGTCGCGGGTCTGTGCGCGTCTTTACGTGGTTGGGTCTCGCAGGGTGTTAATTCAGAACGTGTTTTCCTCCACAATTGACTTTTGACAGCGTGGGGAATGTGTTCTGTCAGGTTCGGGATAAATGTTCTGTGACAGTCCCAAAGTGTGGGTGTTCCTTTCTGTTGATTTTTCAGGAGCCAAAAGTTACTAAAATAAACTTGTTTGGATGAGCAAATGTGATGGCTTCACTAATATTTCAAACTTCTATATGTAGGTTTTGGGGTTGTTTTTTTTTTTTTTTTTTTTTTTTTTTTTTTTTGTTAAGTTCCCTGACACTGGTAAATAATAGCAGGTTAGGAGCTGACATAATTAGCAAAGCACACCTGCTGTTCCTTGCTGGGAATAGAGAAGCACGTTTTTAATATGCTTATTAATTTTTGTAATGTGTACAGTGTGAGTGTGCTGGGGGGTGTGTCTACATGAAACTAGAAGTTTAGTTTTAAAGCTGAAACTGTTGTCTTTAATTCACACAGTGCTAAGCCAAGGTATTAGAGGGGACTTGGTGACTACCATATGGGCTGCAGGATCTGGGTGACAAGTGCAGAATAAATACGCATCGATCAAAACAAACAAGAAGTCCCCAAAGCAGTTTGGTTGCTTTACAAGCAGAAAAAGCCATGATCTGTATTGCTTACAATTCCCTAACTGCTTAAGTGTTCTGTGCATGCAGGTCCTGCCTCCTGATCTGCAGATCACAGCACTGGCAGACTGCTGGCTGTCTCGAATTTTTTTAGCACATAAGTTTGGGGAGTTTTTAATAATACCCTGGGAGGCTCCTGCTGAAGCAGAGTAACTCCAGACCTCAAAGCCTTCCTTTTTGGAAGGAAGAAATGCTAAGATTGTGTATTTCTTTCTCTTTAGTCTGCACTGGATAAAAATACTCATGCTTATTTAGTGTTTTGAGACAATGTTTAATAAAAGGGTTGGGCAGGGGGTAACTGTCTTATACAATCTTCAGCATAAGCTTGATTGCAATATTGTCTCTTCAGTGCTGAGACAGTAGCTATGGCAGTGAAAAGCTTTTTAGTTGTAGTGACCTATGCATGCAGAGTTTAAATTAAGAAAGAATGCACGTGCAATGTGAAGTGTCTGAGGGGTGTTTTCAAAGCTGACTCTGGAGTGTTTGTTCTGTTATCTTCAAATAAAAACTAGGCTTCTGGAAATAAAACTGGTGTCATTTAAGCGCCAAAGTGCTTACAAAAACTTTAGTTCTTGTCATTTAAAAAGTATTTAGAGGAAAAGCATGTTGAAGTCTGAGTTCCAGCTCAGTAAGCGTGCTGAGCAGCCTTGCCCTTGCACTGTCTATCTTTAAAGAAGGCTGATTTTGTTATTAGTCAGTGTCTGCAAATGCAAGTATATCTGTGGGCTTCGTAGCTGCTAATGTCTTTGCACTGATGTGTGCAGTGACACAAATCACAGTTCTTAATAATCTTGCAAGAGGCCTCTTTGCTGAGTTAAGAACTCTGTGTTTAAAACTAGTCTCTTAAGATGGAGTGAGTCTAATGGGGGTTTTTGGTATCCTCAAACCTCACTTGCAGGCCAGGGGTGCAGCCTGCCTGAGCTGAGGGTCTCTCCCTGTGAGGCTGAAGGCAGTGCACACTCTGGGCTGGGGCTTCCCAGAGTTTTCCCAGGCACATCTTTTACCTGCTGCGTGTTCTGAATGATGCTGTTTAATATTTACCATTTCCCTTCGAGGGGAGGCTCCTGTGCAGTGGGGTGTGGGTTTGCAGCCAAGCCCTGCTGCACTCCTAGAATCTCACTCCTCCTCCCAGGAGTAATCTGGGAGCCTGATCGCTCTTGTTGACAGCACAAACAACTTGGGAGTCAAATCCCTCTCCTCGGCAGCAGCTGAGTGATGTACTGAGGTCTCGTATTTCAAAGGCTTAATTACTTTTACAAAATATATTACTCTGTCTTCTTTGGTAAGCTATCAGGTGCTTTCAGCACAGGCAGAACTACACTTTGCTAAATAAATGAACAGAGAGTGTTTTGCATCTCAGTGTTGTTGATTGTTTCTCTTTAATCCTGGTTGCTCCTTCTTTGCTAATTTGCAAAATTCATTAATCCTCAGTGGGCTTCCCAATCATTACCATGAGCCATATGTTTTGTTTTGTACGTGGTGTTGTGTTTTTTTGGATTTGGTTTTGTTTTATTTCAATTTGCCACATTATTCTTTAGTAGTAGCCCAGAACCCTGTTGCAAGCAGTGGAGCTGTGGGAGTTGGGAGGGAGCCATTGTGTGCTGTGCTGCTCAGTGAGCTGTCAGGACATTTTGGAAGGGTCTGTGCATCTCCAGCTTTCATTCCACAGGATCTTACTGCGACATCAGGGTTGTTTTGTCAATCATTAGTGCCTGTTGGAGGTGAAAAACTTTTTGTGGCACGCTAACTCTTTAACCCACTTGTTGCTAAAGTCGGTGCTGGAAGGATGCAAATTCTTCTGGAGAGCAGCGCAGAAATTCTCTGTAATGTGCTGTGTTTTCTAGTAGTCCTTTTCCCTTCTTCTTTATTAGATACTGATTGAAGAAACTACTCACCTCTATTTTGGGTTCCTTATGCACCTTTCCAGGCCTTGGACTCTTTTCAGCAGATGTTGTCATATTTGGAAGGGTTTCAGCAGCACGGATGACCTGGTCAGAGGAGTTTGTTTTTCTTCTTTCCTGGGAGCAGGGTTTTCTCCTCTCCACCACCATTGCAACAGGTGTAGCAAAGACAATCTGAGGTGAAATTTCTGTGCTTGGGAGATCTGGAAGAAATTTCCCTGTCTGCACTGATCCCATTTACTGCGAGGTGAAATTTCTGTGCTTGAGAGACAGATCTGGAAGAAATTTCCCTGTCTGCACTGATCCCATTTACTGTCAAACTTTGAGATTTAGACTCGGATGTGATTGATACCTGTCTGCTTTGGGAATGGTCCTCTTTGCTCCTGCCTTTCCTTTAAAGAGAGAGAAGCAGGGGCAGGAAAGGGTGTTCCCTCTTGAAAAAAGTTCCACTTTTCCACAAAAGTTCCACTCTTGAAGTCTACACTTGGAGAGCTTTCCTGACGCAGCTGCACTGACATCCATGCAGAGCATGCACTGGCACAGATGTACAGGCTGAGATGTTCTTCACTGTGGCTGACTCTCCTGTTGTAACCAAACCCTGCTTGGATTGAAGAGAATGCACATTTCTCCTGCTGGTACTTTGTCTTTTCAACTGCTCAGCTCATCCTTGTGTAACACCACAGAGGGTGCCTGGTTGGGGATCTCCCTTACTCAAAACCCATCGATATGGCCACGCTGAGATAAATCTGTTTTCTAAAACTGCGCTGGTCCATTGGTTTGGCTATAAGCAAGTGCAGAGTTTGCAGTCCAGAGCTTTTTGCTGGGAGGGGCTGTAGGATGTAGCTGCCTTTTTGCTTACCAAGGCTGGTTTAGGAACTGTGTTGTGCTGTGAGCTGTAGTGAAAGTGGTAAATGGAGCACGTGTGTAAGAATTGTGTCTGAGTTTAGTGGAGGATGCTGTTCCTTCCTGGAAAGCATTGCTTTTTGCTGTTCCTTCCTGGAAAGCACTGCTTTTTACAGCTTTTCTGTTGCTGCTACAGTCGTGCTCAGGGTTTGTGAAATAATCAAGTGCAGCACTTCACAATGAAGAGAGAGGGAATGCTCCTCTGAGTTTCCCCTGGAGTAAGTGCTTGC